GGCGGCCCCGCTCCTCACGGCGCCGCGGTGAGTGGCGGCCCCGCTCCTCACGGCGCTGCGGTGAGTGGTGGCCCCGCTCCTCCCGGCGCTGCGGTGAGTGGTGGCCCCGCTCCTCACGGCGCTGCGGTGAGTGGTGGCCCCGCTCCTCCCGGCGCTGCGGTGAGTGGTGGCCCCGCTCCTCACGGCGCTGCGGTGGGTGGTGGCCCCGCTCCTCACGGCGCTGCGGTGAGTGGTGGCCCCGCTCCTCACGGCGCTGCGGTGGGTGGTGGCCCTGCTCCTCACGGCGGGAAAACTCCCGGTTTATTGGGAATTAACAGCTAGGGAGAGTCAGCCATGTTTCAGGTCCCGTGGTGGCACTATTGTCTCTCTAGTGGCGGTGGTGGTGGTGGTGGTGGCTGTGGTGGTGGTGGCGGTGGTGGTGGTGGTGGTGGTGGTGGCTGTGGTGGTGGTGGCGGTGGTGGTGTTGGTGGTTGAGTTGGTGGTTGTGTTGGTGGTTGTGGTGGTGGCGGCTGTGGTGGTGGTGGCTGTGGTGGTGGTGGTGGCTGTGGTGGTTGTGTTGGTGGTTGTGTTGGTGGTTGTGTTGGTGGTTGTGGTGGTGGTTGTGGTGGTGGTTGTGTTGGTGGTTGTGTTGGTGGTTGAGTTGGTGGTTGTGTTGGTGGTTGTGTTGGTGGTTGTGGTGGTGGTTGTGGTGGTGGTTGTGTTGGTGGTTGTGGTGGTGGTGGCTGTGGTGGTGGTGGTGGCTGTGGTGGTGGTTGTGGTGGTGGCTGTGGTGGTGGTTGTGGTGGTGGTGGTTGTGGTGGTGGTTGTGGTGGTGGCTGTGGTGGTGGTTGTGATGGTGGTTGTGGTGGTGGTTGTGGCTGTGGTGGTGGTTGTGGTGACTGTGGTTTTGGCTGTGGTGATTGTGGTGGTGACTGTGGTGGTGGCTGGTGGTGGTAGTGGTAGTTGTGGTGGTGGTGGTGGCTGTGGTGGTGACTGGTGGTGGTGGTGGTGGTGGCTGAGGCTATGATATATACAGTGATGGCTGTAGTGATGATGGCCAAAATAAATTAAGAATTAACTAGAACTACATCAGGAAGGTGTGAAACAGCTCTCGGTCAACCATCTTCAAATAAGCATTATTAGATAATAAATTTAATACATTTATTAACAAGTTGATATGTCGTTCAAGTTTACATAATAAGGTGCTAAACATACAAGATTCAACACCGTATCATTAATATAGTTAAAACACCAAAAGGTGGTGAATTGAAGTATAAAAGACTGGAAACCGTTTTCCTTAATGGCGGCCAGGAAGACCACTATCCTGGAGTTCAACCGACCGACAACATCAACATGGCGGGAGCGTGACAGAGCGCGCCAAGTCTCGCCCCAGCAACGCTGGCTACCGCTGCCCACACCGGCGGCGGCCATTGTTGTCCCAGTAATATTTAACTAAAAGCGCCAGCGAAACAATACCATACATAAGATAGACAATCTCATTCCTGTTAAAATTTGGGCTAAAGGCTTGCATAGCGCGCTGGATTATGGACTAGAAAATGCCCATTGTTGTTCTCACAGCCAGTTGGCCATAGCAACGGTGGGTCCCCTTCATGAAGCAGTTACACACACAAGTACTTACGAACCTCTACATCTTATCTCAATCGGCTTTGATCACATTTATTAAACGGTTTACGAGAATCGGAATTTCCCAATTAAATGATATTGTTATAAACAGCCTCCAGGTGCTTAGGGGTTTACCACCTGTTTGATATGTGTAAACAAAGCCGCCAGAGATTGAGAAAAGATGTAGAAGTTCATAAGTCGATGTGTAAACAGCCCGTCCTCCAAAGGGATCCCAACGTCAAGAACCTATCGTACTAAAGTGCCCTTATCCTAACCTACCAGAGGACCCAAAACAGAAAACGGGACAGTATGTCCAATTTCACGAGCCGCTACCATTTTCTAGTACGACAATTTTTGGCCTTAGGCAGAGTATACGTTAAAAATACGACGTTCTATTATGAGGACGAGTTGGTGTAAATGATTGTTCCATCCTGGCCTGGGCTACCCTCTGCACACCCCACAATATCTTGAGGTTATCTTGAGATGATTTCGGGGCTTTTTAGTGTCCCCGCGGCCCGGTCCTCGACCAGGCCTCCACCCCCTGGAAGCAGCCCGTGACAGCTGACTAACACCCAGGTACCTATTTTACTGCTAGGTAACAGGGGCATAGGGTGAACGAAACTCTGCCCATTGTTTCTCGCCGGCGCCTGGGATCGAACCCGGGACCACAAGTCCAGCGTGCTGTCCGCTTGGCCGACCGGCTCGGCCTGTAGTTTGTAGTTTAGCATAGTTTGGGGTGCCATTAATAGTGCCCAGTTACATACTCCTGTAGAAAATTATTTTGGTAAAACTACACCGGATCCGGTCATGGAGTTGAGGCCCCAATCACAGGTTTGTTTTAAAGTATTTGAAGAAAATATTTCACCACTTTCGAAATTAAAGTTAGAATGGATAACAATAAATTAGTATAGAATTTTATTTGTTAATTATTTTGCTTATATTATTAGTTAAAAATTTAAATAATTTAAGCTAGACTATTAACTAATAGCAATATCCATTCGTAGCAATGTATACCTTTGGAATTAGCTGAGTATACCTGGAGAATACCTGGTTGATGGGGTTCTGGGAGTTCTTCTACTCCCCGAGCCCGGCCTGAGGCCAGGCTTGACTTGTGATAACTTGGTCCAACAGGCTGTTGCTTGAAGCGGCCCGTTGGCCAAAATATCCACTACAGCCTGGTTGGTCCGGCACTTCTTGCAAGAAGTTATCTAAGTGCCTCTTCAATACATCCACTTTGTGCCAGCAATATTTCTAATGCTTGCTGGGAGGGTGTTGAACAGCTGTTGACCTCTGATGTTCAGTGTTCTCTTATTGTGCCTATGGCACCTCTACTCCTCACTGGTTCTATTCTGCATTGGCTATTGGCGAATTATTAAATAATTCGAAACGTCCATTTGCATTGGATATACATTCCAGAGAAAGCAACGCAACCGTCCTTGTGACTTGACATAGGAGGAAGCAAAGCATTGTCAAAGAATTATAGACCAGTTGCACTAACGTTCCACATAATACTGTATAAGTATTTGAAAAGAGTGATCAAGTCAGGTCACTAGTTTCAATGAAACCAATGACCTCCACAACCCAGGCCAACATGGATTTAGAACAGGAAGATAATGCCTTTCACAGCTACTTGACCACTACAACAAAATCACTGGGGCATTAGAAAAAAAACAGAATGCAAATGTGGCATGCAAGGATTTCACAAAGGCATTCGAAAATGTGACCATGGAGTGATAGCACACAAAAGGAGGTCAGTAGGAATAACTGGTAAAGTAAGACGCTGGATACTCAGTTTTCACAGAGTAACACAGAACACAGAGTAACAGTCATCCATATAAAATCGAGTTCAAGAGCAGTTGAAAGCTCTGTACCTCAAGGTACATTCCTTACACCGCTGCTTTTCCTTATTCTCATATCAGATACAGACTCAAATGCAAGGCACAGCTTCGTATAATCATCTGCAGATGACACAAAAATCAGCATGAAAATTACCTCTGCTGAAGACATTGAAAAACTACTACTTTCGTTTCGAAAGTAACATGATGTTTAACAGTGATAAATTCAAGGTACTCAGAAACGGTAAGAATGAGAACCTTAAACATAATACAGGGTACAAAATACAATCAAATCTGCCGATAGTAGAAAAACAGTATGTCCAGGATTTGGGAATAATGATGTCTGACGACCTAACGTATAGGGAGCATAACCAAGCAAATATTACGTCAGCCAGAAAAATTATAGGATGGATTACGAGAACCTTCAAATCCACAGATCCCATCACAAAGGTTGTACTATGCAAATCACTTGTGTTGTCCCGTCTTAGGTACTGCTCAGTACTCACTTCCCCCTTCAAAGCAGGAGAGACTACTGAAATAGAGGGAATACAGAGAACATATACGGCACGCATAGACGCTATAAAGCACCTAAATTATTGGGATCGTCTCAAAGCTCTCCAAATGTACTCACTAGAAAGGAGACGAGAGAGATACCAAATAATATACACCTGAAAGATACTGGAGGGTCAGGTACCAAATCTACACAGTAAAATAACAACATACTGGAGTGAACGATATGGAAGAAAAGGCAGAATAGAACCAGTGAAGAGCAGAGGTGCCATAGGCACAATCAGAGAACACTGTATAAACATCAGAGGTCCGCTGTTGTTCAACGTCCTCCCAGCGAGCAAAAGAAATATTGCCGGAACAACCGTGGACATCTTCAAGAGAAAACTAGATAGTTTTCTGCAAGGAGTGCCGGACCAACCGGGCTGTGGTGGGTATGTGGGCCTGCGGGCCGCTCCAAGCAACAGCCTGGTGGACCAAACTCTCACAAGTCAAGCCTGGCCTCGGGCCGGGCTTGGGGAGTAGAAGAACTCCCAGAACCCCATCAGCCAGGTATCAAGCAAACGTCACTGATCAAGTATTTTCAACACAGAACATTCCGCATAGATCATACAACACATGTATGTCGAATGACCTATATGATAAGATGTTCACGAGGCCCTATATGATAAGATGTTCACAAGGCCCTATATGATAAGATGTTCACGAGGCCCTATGTGATGATGTCTGGCCAAGTCAACACTGCTAGACGAGCACATCTATTTAACTGGCAGAGTTTCTTTCAACTTGACGCCCTGTTCACCTAGCTGTAAATGCGTACCTGGGAGATGGACAGCTGTTACGGGCTGCTTCCTGGGGAATGAGGGGGGGGGGGATAATTAGTTGACTGGCAGTTTAGAAGCAGGACCAAAATAGGCAGAGCTCAACCCCCGCAAGCGCAACTAGGTGAGTACATCTCGTGTGCCAGGTGAGCACGACGGGCTCACCATAGCCCGTGCTGCTTCCTACTTCTTGTTCCCAGCAGCTGAATCTACAACAACAACAACAACAACAACACTAAGCCCCGTACCATTTTATACCTTGAACTTTGTTAATTATTTGAAGAACGTTTTGAATAATACAATTACTGACATGGATGGTGTATTTTATGGTGATGATGGCTGAGGTTGTGACGGATGTATTGATGGTGGCTGAGGTTGTGACGGATGTATTGATGGTGGCTGAGGTTGTGACGGATGTATTGATGATGGCTGAGGTTGTGACGGATGTATTGATGGTGGCTGAGGTTGTGACGGATGTATTGATGGTGGCTGAGGTTGTGACGGATGTATTGATGGTGGCTGAGGTTGTGACGGATGTATTGATGGTGGCTGAGGTTGTGACGGATGTATTGATGGTGGCTGAGGTTGTGACGGATGTATTGATGGTGGCTGAGGTTGTGACGGATGTATTGATGATGGCTGAGGTTGTGACGGATGTATTGATGGTGGCTGAGGTTGTGACGGATGTATTGATGGTGGCTGAGGTTGTGACGGATGTATTGATGATGGCTGAGGTTGTGACGGATGTATTGATGGTGGCTGAGGTTGTGACGGATGTATTGATGGTGGCTGAGGTTGTGACGGATGTATTGATGGTGGCTGAGGTTGTGACGGATGTATTGATGGTGGCTGAGGTTGTGACGGATGTATTGATGGTGGCTGAGGTTGTGACGGATGTATTGATGATGGCTGAGGTTGTGACGGATGTATTGATGGTGGCTGAGGTTGTGACGGATGTATTGATGGTGGCTGAGGTTGTGACGGATGTATTGATGGTGGCTGAGGTTGTGACGGATGTATTGATGATGGCTGAGGTTGTGACGGATGTATTGATGGTGGCTGAGGTTGTGACGGATGTATTGATGATGGCTGAGGTTGTGACGGATGTATTGATGATGGCTGAGGTTGTGACGGATGTATTGATGATGGCTGAGGTTGTGACGGATGTATTGATGGTGGCTGAGGTTGTGACGGATGTATTGATGATGGCTGAGGTTGTGACGGATGTATTGATGATGGCTGAGGTTGTGACGGATGTATTGATGGTGGCTGAGGTTGTGACGGATGTATTGATGATGGCTGAGGTTGTGACGGATGTATTGATGGTGGCTGAGGTTGTGACGGATGTATTGATGATGGCTGAGGTTGTGACGGATGTATTGATGATGGCTGAGGTTGTGACGGATGTATTGATGATGGCTGAGGTTGTGACGGATGTATTGATGATGGCTGAGGTTGTGACGGATGTATTGATGGTGGCTGAGGTTGTGACGGATGTATTGATGGTGGCTGAGGTTGTGACGGATGTATTGATGATGGCTGAGGTTGTGACGGATGTATTGATGATGGCTGAGGTTGTGACGGATGTATTGATGATGGCTGAGGTTGTGACGGATGTATTGATGATGGCTGAGGTTGTGACGGATGTATTGATGGTGGCTGAGGTTGTGACGGATGTATTGATGATGGCTGAGGTTGTGACGGATGTATTGATGATGGCTGAGGTTGTGACGGATGTATTGATGATGGCTGAGGTTGTGACGGATGTATTGATGATGGCTGAGGTTGTGACGGATGTATTGATGATGGCTGAGGTTGTGACGGATGTATTGATGATGGCTGAGGTTGTGACGGATGTATTAATGATGGCTGAGGTTGTGACGGATGTATTAATGATGGCTGAGGTTGTGACGGATGTATTGATGATGGCTGAGGTTGTGACGGATGTATTGATGGTGGCTGAGGTTGTGACGGATGTATTAATGATGGCTGAGGTTGTGACGGATGTATTGATGATGGCTGAGGTTGTGACGGATGTATTGATGGTGGCTGAGGTTGTGACGGATGTATTGATGGTGGCTGAGGTTGTGACGGATGTATTGATGATGGCTGAGGTTGTGACGGATGTATTGATGATGGCTGAGGTTGTGACGGATGTATTGATGGTGGCTGAGGTTATGACGGATGTATTGATGGCTGAGGTTGTGACGGATGTATTGATGGTGGCTGAGGTTGTGATGGATGTATTGATGATGGCTGAGGTTGTGACGGATGTATTGATGGTGGCTGAGGTTGTGACTGATGTATTGATGATGGCTGAGGTTGTGACGGATGTATTGATGATGGCTGAGGTTGTGACGGATGTATTGATGGTGGCTGAGGTTGTGACGGATGTATTGATGGCTGAGGTTGTGACGGATGTATTGATGGTGGCTGAGGTTGTGACGGATGTATTGATGATGGCTGAGGTTGTGACGGATGTATTGATGATGGCTGAGGTTGTGACGGATGTATTGATGGTGGCTGAGGTTGTGACTGATGTATTGATGATGGCTGAGGTTGTGACGGATGTATTAATGATGGCTGAGGTTGTGACGGATGTATTGATGATGGCTGAGGTTGTGACGGATGTATTGATGGTGGCTGAGGTTGTGACGGATGTATTGATGGTGGCTGAGGTTGTGACGGATGTATTGATGATGGCTGAGGTTGTGACGGATGTATTGATGATGGCTGAGGTTGTGACGGATGTATTGATGATGGCTGAGGTTGTGACGGATGTATTGATGGTGGCTGAGGTTGTGACGGATGTATTGATGATGGCTGAGGTTGTGACGGATGTATTGATGATGGCTGAGGTTGTGATGGATGTATTGATGATGGCTGAGGTTGTGACGGATGTATTGATGGTGGCTGAGGTTGTGACGGATGTATTGATGGCTGAGGTTGTGACGGATGTATTGATGGTGGCTGAGGTTGTGACGGATGTATTGATGATGGCTGAGGTTGTGACGGATGTATTGATGATGGCTGAGGTTGTGACGGATGTATTGATGATGGCTGAGGTTGTGACGGATGTATTGATGGCTGAGGTTGTGACGGATGTATTGATGATGGCTGAGGTTGTGACGGATGTATTGATGATGGCTGAGGTTGTGACGGATGTATTGATGATGGCTGAGGTTGTGACGGATGTATTGATGGTGGCTGAGGTTATGACGGATGTATTGATGGCTGAGGTTGTGACGGATGTATTGATGGTGGCTGAGGTTGTGACGGATGTATTGATGGCTGAGGTTGTGACGGATGTATTGATGGTGGCTGAGGTTGTGACGGATGTATTGATGGTGGCTGAGGTTGTGACGGATGTATTGATGGTGGCTGAGGTTGTGACGGATGTATTGATGGCTGAGGTTGTGACGGATGTATTGATGGCTGAGGTTATGACGGATGTATTGATGATGGCTGAGATTGTGACGGATGTATTGATGGCTGAGGTTGTGACGGATGTATTGATGATGGCTGAGGTTGTGACGGATGTGTTGATGGCTGAGGTTATGACGGATGTATTGATGGCTGAGGTTGTGACGGATGTATTGATGGCTGAGGTTGTGACGGATGTATTGATGATGGCTGAGGTTGTGACGGATGTATTGATGGCTGAGGTTATAACGGATGTATTCATGGCTGAGGTTATGACGGATGTATTGGTGGCTGAGGTTGTGACGGATGTATTGATGATGGCTGAGGTTGTGACGGATGTATTGATGGCTGAGGTTCTGACGGATGTATTGATGGCTGAGGTTATGACGGATGTATTGATGGCTGAGGTTATGACGGATGTATTGATGGCTGAGGTTGTGACGGATGTATTGATGGCTGAGGTTATGACGGATGTATTGATGGCTGAGGTTATGACGGATGTATTGATGGCTGAGGTTGTGACGGATGTATTGATGATGACTGAGGTTGTGACGGATGTATTGATGATGACTGAGGTTGTGACGGATGTATTGATGGCTGAGGTTGTGACGGATGTATTGATGATGGCTGAGGTTGTGACGGATGTATTGATGATGGCTGAGGTTGTGATGGATGTATTGATCCATCACAACCTCAGCCATCATCAAGACATCCGGACTGACCGTCCACGGACAGTACCTGCTGACCACCGTCCACGGACAGTACCTACTGACCACCGTCCACGGACAGTACCTACTGACCACCGTCTACGGACAGTACCTACTGACCACCGTCCACGGACAGTACCTACTGACCACCGTCCACGGACAGTACCTGCTGACCACCGTCCACGGACAGTACCTACTGACCACCGTCCACGGACAGTACCTACTGACCACCGTCCACGGACAGTACCTACTGACCACCGTCCACGGACAGTACCTACTGACCACCGTCCACGGACAGTACCTGCTGACCACCGTCCACGGACAGTACCTACTGACCACCGTCCACGGACAGTACCTGCTGACCACCGTCCACGAACAGTACCTACTGACCACCGTCCACGGACAGTACCTACTGACCACCGTCCACGGACAGTACCTGCTGACCACCGTCCACGGACAGTGCCTACTGACCACCGTCCACGGACAGTACCTACTGACCACCGTCCACGGACAGTACCTCCTGACCACCGTCCACGGACAGTACCTACTGACCACCGTCCACGGACAGTACCTACTGACCACCGTCCTCGGACAGTACCTGCTGACCACCGTCCACGGACAGTACCTACTGACCACCGTCCACGGACAGTACCTGCTGACCACCGTCCACGGACAGTACCTACTGACCACCGTCCACGGACAGTACCTACTGACCACCGTCCACGGACAGTACCTACTGACCACCGTCCACGGACAGTACCTACTGACCACCGTCCACGGACAGTACCTACTGACCACCGTCCACGGACAGTACCTGCTGACCACCGTCCACGGACAGTACCTACTGACCACCGTCCATGGACAGTACCTACTGACCACCGTCCACGGACAGTACCTACTGACCACCGTCCACGGACAGTACCTGCTGACCACCGTCCATGGACAGTACCTACTGACCACCGTCTACGGACAGTACCTGCTGACCACCGTCCACGGACAGTACCTACTGACCACCGTCCACGGACAGTACCTGCTGACCACCGTCCACGGACAGTACCTACTGACCACCGTCCACGGACAGTACCTGCTGACCACCGTCCACGGACAGTACCTACTGACCACCGTCCACGGACAGTACCTACTGACCACCGTCCACGGACAGTACCTACTGACCACCGTCCACGGACAGTACCTACTGACCACCGTCCACGGACAGTACCTACTGACCACCGTCCACGGACAGTACCTGCTGACCACCGTCCACGGACAGTACCTACTGACCACCGTCCACGGACAGTACCTACTGACCACCGTCCACGGACAGTACCTGCTGACCACCGTCTACGGACAGTACCTACTGACCACCGTCCATGGACAGTACCTGCTGACCACCGTCCACGGACAGTACCTACTGACCACCGTCTACGGACAGTACCTACTGACCCCCGTCCATGGACAGTACCTACTGACCACCGTCCACGGACAGTACCTGCTGACCACCGTCCACGGACAGTACTTACTGACCACCGTCCATGGACAGTACCTACTGACCACCGTCCATGGACAGTACCTACTGACCACCGTCCACGGACAGTACCTACTGACCACCGTCCACGGACAGTACCTACTGACCGTCCACGTATCAACAAAGTCCTGCCACACACCCCACGATCCACAAAGAACATTTCCATGCAAGGGACTATCTGTTTGACAATGGAGAGAGAAAGGTATTTAACCCACCGCCGTCTCCCACACACACACACACACACACACACACACACACACACACACGCACGCACGCACACACACACACACACACACACACACACACACACACACACACACACACACACGCACGCACACAAAGTACAGAAGTACAGAAGACAAAGGACAGAGGACAACAGGATCAGATACAACAGAGCTAGGAACGATTACATTAACATAAGACGAACATCGGAAAGGGACTATGAGAACGATATTGCAATCAAAGCGAAAAAACAACCTAAGTTACTACACAGTCATATAAGAAGAAAAATGTCGGTGAACGACCAAGTGACAAGACTAAGGAAGACAGAGGGGGCATATACTGAAAGTGACAAGGAAATCTGCGAGGCACTGAATGCCAGTTTCCATGGAGTGTTCACTACCGAGCCTGAGCAGCTCCCATTGTTGGAAGGGGTTACCCTAGATGAAAGACTATCAGATATAGAGGTGACAGCAGAGGAGGTAATGAAACAGTTGACAACTCTAGATGCAACTAAAGCAGTTGGACCAAACAAAGTATCACCGTGGATACTAAAAGAAGCAGCGCAGGCCCTCAGCGTGCCTCTGGCAATGATCTTTAATGAGTCACTTATGTCAGGAGAATTGCCCAGTTGCTGGAAGAAGGCAAATGTCGTGCCGATCTTCAAGAAAGGTGATAGGGAGGAGGCACTTAACTACAGACCTGTATCACTGACAAGCATCCCCTGTAAAATACTGGAAAGAATAATTAGGCTACGACTGGTTGCACACCTGGAGAACATTAGGTTTGTGAACAAACATCAACATGGGTTCTGGACAGGGAAATCGTGCCTAACAAACCTTCTGGAATTCTATGATAAAATAACGAGGATAAGACAGGACAGAGATGGTTGGGCAGACTGCATATTTCTGGACTGCCAAAAATCCTTTGATACAGTACCGCACATGAGACTGCTGTTCAAGCTCGAGAGGTAGGCGGGGGTGGGGGGAAAGGTCCTAGCATGGATAAGGAACTACCTAACAGGAAGGAGCCAAAGAGTAACGGTAAGGGGCGAGAAGTCGGACTGGCGAACAGTAACAAGTGGAGTACCACAAGGATCGGTGCTGGGACCAATTCTATTTCTTGTATATGTTAACGACATGTTTACAGGCGTAGAGTCCTACATGTCGATGTTTGCGGATGACGCAAAGTTGATAAGAAGAGTTGTGACAGATGAGGATTGCAGGATCCTCCAAGAGGACCTGAACAGGTTGCAGAGATGGTCAGAGAAATGGCTACTGGAATTCAACACGAGCAAATGTAAAGTTATGGAAATGGGACTAGGAGATATGAGACCAAAGGGACAGTACACAATGAAGGGGAACAGCCTACCTGTGACGACGCGTGAAAGAGACCTGGGGGTGGACGTAACACCTAATCTATCTCCTGAGGCACATATAAATAGGATAACGACAGCAGCGTACTCTACACTGGAAAAAGTTAGAACATCATTCAGAAACCTAAGTAAGGAGGCATTTAGGGCGCTTTACACTGCCTACGTGAGGCCAGTCTTAGAGTATGCCGCCTCATCATGGAGTCCCCATCTGAAGAAGCATATAATGAAACTGGAAAAGGTTCAGAGGTTTGCAACGAGACTCGTCCCAGAGCTACTAGGGATGTGGTATGAGGAGCGCCTGAGGGAACTGTGCCTTACGACACTAGAAAGAAGAAGGGAGAGGGGGGACATGATAGGAACGTATAAAATACTCAGAGGAATTGACAGAGTGGACATTGACGAAATGTTCACACGGAATAGTAACAGAATGAGGGGACATGGATGGAAGCTTGAAACTCAGATGAGTCACGGAGATGTTAGGAAGTTTTCTTTTAGCGTGAGAGTAGTGGGAAAATGGAATGCACTTCAGGAACAGGTTGTGGAAGCAAATACTATTCATAATTTTAAAACCAGGTATGATAGGGAAATGGGACAGGAGTCATTGCTGTAAACAACCGATGGCTGAAAAGGTGGGATCCAAGAGCCAATGCTCGATCCTGCAAGCACAAATAGGTGAGTACAAATAGGTGAATAGGTGATTACACACACAGGCAAAAGACAGAGGACAACAGGAACAGGTGCAACAGGGCCACGAATAACTACATAAACATAAGAAGATTGACAGAAAGAAACAATGAAAATGATATTGCCTCCAAAGCAAAGAGCCAACCTAAACTCCTACATAACCTTATAAGAAGGAGAGTGAAAGTGTATGACCAAGTGACCAGGTTACGAAATAGGGGAAGGCCAATATACAGAAAATGATAAAGAAATGTGTGAGTAGCTCAATGCCAGCTTCCATGAA